GCAGCTCAGAGTGGCACTACTAGTCCAACCTCTAAGGCAATTGTCCAAATACTAGTTAGCAAGATTACAAACTAAATAAGAGTAATCCAGGGCGGCACTACTAGTCCAACCACTAGAGCAGGAGCCATGAGGCCAATCAATGTAATAGAATATATAGTACACAATCAAGGTCCTAGCAAGTGAGAAGCTACAGGAACTAGACCAAGCTAGACACAGTGCTGCTGATGATCAGCTATGTTGGCACCTGAGGCCAAGTGTACTACGCGGGCATGGCGGCGCTACTATAGCTCGCGCAGAAGGAAGAATCGCAGTTGAATCTGCTTCGCTCTGCCCTCCAGCAGAGGCTCATGACATAGGAGGATCATGGCCCTGTTGTCAGCGTACATGACCGGGGCAGAGCTAGGCCGCTCACCTAAGTCTGTGAGCAAGACAGTCAGCCAGCGGATCTCCTTTGCCGACATGGAACCAGCGTAGATCTCAGTGTCACAGCGAGACCGGGCAATAGACGACGAGCGAGTGGACCTCCACGAGATAATACCTGCACCGAGGCTAAAACAGTAGCCATATGAGAACCTGAGTGTCTCAACGTCGTCTGTCCACGAAGCATCTGTGTGCCCGGTAAGGTCCACTGACCTGCGTCCTCCTAGCACTAGCCCCATACCCGATGTACTCGCTAGATAATGCAAAACCCTCTTCGCGGCCGACCAGTGCCACAGTCGGTACTGCTTGTCGCCACAAAGCGAGCCATGATGCTGAGAGGGTATGCGAGATCTGGACGAGTGCAAGTCATCAGGTACATGAGGCAACCCACTAGCTCTGCGTACGGACTAGTAGGCTCTACTGACTCCAAAAAAACTGGAGGTGAGAATTAATGACCTACTGGGCAAGAAGTGGGCTGTGCGAATGAGAACTGAAGACCGAACCTCTGAAAGACCTAGCGCATCAAGTGTGACTGGGTGAGAGTGATGGTGCGCGCTGCCCTGTCTCTAGAGATTTGCACGCCAAGATAGCGGTGCAGCTCTCCAAGGTCAGTGCAGGTGTATCTCCTTAGTAGCTCGGCCTTCACAGAGGTCAGTGCGTTTCTCTTTATAGTGGCGAAGACCAGGTCGTCTACATGGACAATGATGTACAACGGTGTCTGGCCTGAACGAACGAAGAGCAAAGGGTCTGCGGGGGACGGGTAGAACTGCGGGTCAGCTAATGTAGCATGAAGAGTGTCGTGCCACTCTCGAGGTGCCTGCCGCAGGCCGTAAACCGGGCACCGGAGGAGCCACTGGGTCCCCGAGGCGAAGGTGCTGATGAAGCCTTGTGGGCGACGGAGGTAGACTTGCTCATGAAGATTGCCATGAAGAAAAGCTGTCCAGAAGATAAGAGAGTGCAACTCTAGTCATGCTGTGCTGCTAAGTGTAGCAGTGCCCGAAAAGTGGTCATCTTCGGGGTCGAGGCGATCGTCTAAAAGAAGTCAACACCCTCGCGTTGATTGAAGGATCTAGCAACGTAGCGCGCCTCGAACACAGCGGCTCTCCTGGAGGGCGCTTCACCTCGAAGAGCCACCTGCCATCGACTACGTTCACCCCAGGTGGGGGAACTGCGTCGACGTAGGTGCCGATGGATCTCCAATATGCCATCTCCACGTCCATGGCAGCTATCCATTGAGAGGCCCAGGGTCCCGAGGTCGCTTAAGTGTAAGTGCGAGGGGTTGAGATGTCAAGGGCGTCTGAGTCACCCTCAGGGACTAGCAGCATGGAACAGAGATGAGGCGCGGCCTGAGGCAGGAGAGCTAGCTCGTACTGCCGGTCCTCTATGGCGTCACTGCCAAGGGCAGGGGCACCCTCGACGAACAGAGGTCGGGCAGGGTCAGAGACCAAAGCGGTTGCGTACTCAAGGCGGCGGGTAGATGCAAAGTTAGTTATGGCAGCGACAAGAGCGTCAAGACTGGAGACAGGAACTGACGGGTCGGTAATAAGAGAGGCGAGGACCCGAGGAACAAAAGGACTAGCGGCATAGAGGAAGTGAGATAGGGAAGGCGGAGCGACAACCAGCGAGGACGAAGGAGGCGACGGAAGGAGGGAGGATGAGACACGTGGGAACGAAGCAACATAGGGTGAGAGCACTAGACAGGAGAGACAGGATGAGCACGAGAGGGACGGCGAGACCAGAAGTGGGACGGAGGCGTGGGTTCAGGAGACACAGGAGCAGACACATGAGGAGAATGCAGGTCAAAACGAGCCGGAGACGAATGAGGCGAAGGAAACACATTATCGTAGATAGGCGGGGAAGGCCCAGGCGGGCGGTCAGGGGAGGGAAGATCGAGGAGGCGAAGGGAAGACCAGCGGCGATTGCTGCTGCTGCGGCTCCACACCGACACCAGAACCTCCAGCTCCACCACGGCTTCCTCCGAGACGCTCCACGACAGCACCCCTAGAACGAGAACCCTCTCCAGCACCGGTGCCACCCCTAGGACCACTGTGCCAAGCCACGACAGTACCCCCAGGACTAGCACCCTCCTCAACGCCCGCACCCCGAGAGGTCGCGGAGCCCTGTGGCGGCTGCTGCTGCGGCGGTGGCGACGGCGGCTGCGGCTGTAGCGGCTGTAACGGTGACGGTGGCGGCGGCGATGGAGGCTACTACGGCGGCGGCGCAGGAGGAGTTACCGGGGCGGAGACAGGTGGCGAGACCGAATTCGCGGGGCCCCCGGAGTCAACCGACTCCTCCACCGGGACAACCGACGGGAGGGGAGTGACGTGAGATACACCAGACGGGGCAGGACGAGGAGGAAGAGGAGCAGGGGCCACTAGGGGAGTGGGGACCAGGAACAGGGGTAGGGTAACTGGGAGACCTAGGTGGAGAAAGCGGGTGTAGAAGAAGACAGACTCGTCAAAAGTGACGTTACGATAGTGAAAGAAACGGTTAGGCGGCGGGTGATGAAAGCGCCAGTCAGACGCGTCGAGGGGGAAACCAAGGAAGACACAAGGGACGTTGCGGGCAGTGAGGTTTTCCGTGCCAGAGGTACGAACGTGAGCGAGGTAGCCCCAGACGTGAAATGCAGACGCGTCACCAGGGAACCCGGTCCAGAGAAGGGTCGGCGAAACTTGCTGCCGTTGGGAGTGTGGCCACAGGCTAAGCTAGTGAGCGGCGTAGCGAATACCGAACGACCACAGAAAATGGGGTGCACCGGCATGAATCATGGAGGTACGTCCAGGACCAAACCGATGCGTCGCTCAGCGACCACATTCTTCTGTGGGGAGTCCGGCAGGGTGTACGACTGGGTGATGCCCTCCGCACGGCAGAACTGGCCAAGCCGACCGGAGGCGAACTCGCCGCCAGGGTCGGAGTGAAGACGCAGCACAGGGAGGCCACGGTGGACTCGTATTGCTACGACCCACGTAATAAGAACGCTGGGCACGTCGGCCTCCTACTCCAGGGGAAACACCGTGGTGGAGCGTGTGTAGTCGTCGACAAGCACTAGAAAGTAGCGCTCTCGACGCGGCCCTGGGACAGAGGCTGGGCCCCAAACGCCCAGGTGCAGGGTCTGGAGTGGTGCAATTGTAGTGGGGAGCGAGGAGGAGTAAGAAGCACGACGGAGCCGACCCTCGATGCAGGGCGTGCACGGCGGTGTAGGCGAGGGAGGGAGGGCAAAGAGTGACACATGGAGACCAAAGACAATCTCGTAATGGGACATGTAACGCAGACAAGGGAGTGCGGGGTGAACTAGGTTGGGGTGCCACAGCAGTTAAGGGTGGGTGAGCAATTGAAACGTGGTGAGAGGGGCACCAGTGGCGGCCTCAGTACATACTGCGTAACGCTCGTGTCCAGGGAACATAGTAGTTGTGTCGAGGTCCTGAAGACAGCCGACACCAAATAGGTTCCTGGAGAACGAGGGGATGTGCAAGTCTGTAAGGGAGCCCGAGGGAACCGCCGGGCAGGGAAGGGCAGTGGAGCGACGGGAAACTACCGGACCTGGGAAGGGGTTAGCAAGCGCTACAGCGGCAGGGGCGACAAGCGGCGTGAGCGAAGTGTGGTCGCGAAAAAAGCAGGCGGACGCACCAACGTCAAGCGTGAACGAGAGCACGGCGGTAGTGGCCGCAGACGGATGAATTAACGTGGAGACAAGGCTAAAGAATGCATGCTGCCCTACGCCTGACGCAGCAGGGGAAACTAGACTGCACTTAGTGGACACACCTACAGTAGGCAACACCAGGTACTAGGGTCCAATCACGCTAGAATCATCAGCATACATGACATACATATCATACCTAATCTGACCCATGTCAAGCTCAAAGATACCGGTCTGGAGGGTCCGACATGGGACCAAAGCAGAGACGGAAGAGGTCGTCGAGGCAACGGTAGCAGCGGGCGGCGGTGTGACCGGGACGGTCGCAGACAGTGCCGCGGCGGGGGCCGGTCTGAAAATGGTAGTGGCAGGTGACCACACTGGAGCTGCCACCCGACGCCGAGCTGCGCGACGCACCACCACGACGACCACCACCAGCGCCACCAGGCCACCATGGCGGCTGCTGTTGCTGCTGCGATTGCGGCGCCAGCCTCTGCCCCCTCTTCTGCACCACCATTTCCGCCCCCACCTCCACCATCCCCACCACCCTTCCCTCCGCCACGGTCCCCCTTAGGGCGGCGGCCCTTACCCGAACGCTGCTGCGCTGGGGCCGCAGCGGCGCTCTCAGCAGCAAGGGCTCTCTCAGTGACAGCGGCAAAAACGTCAGAGTAAGTGCACTGGGAGGGAGCACAGCCCTGGAAGATAGGGACCGGCGTAGTACCGCTAGACTGAGCGATTGTGCGTTGGCGGGTCTCTATCGCGGACAGGGCGGTGACGAAGGCAGTAAGGGTGAGATCATCTGGGTGCTGACTAAGGAAGTGATCGCCGGCAGTGGCTAGGCGGTCAAGCAAGCGCGTGGCAAAGGTAAAGGGTAGCACAAAGCAGCGGCGAAAAGGCAGCTGTGCCTCAATGCTAGCGGATCGGGTCGCCGTTGCAGATTTACATTTACTTGGATTATCACTTATTGCAAAGATGGAACCCTGACAGCAAACTGAGTAGTGTGTTGCTAGACGCTAGTGCCTTATAGGTGGCGCCTAACAAATTACGAAAGCATGCACGCAAGTCCGCCCGACCTGGCACAGGGGAAACGGTACTCCCCTAGATTTGTGAAACCCTACTTCTGGGATTGCATTGATGGGACACTCGCAGAAAATCAGTCACCGAAGTCCTGTTTGGAAAGTGATGATGACATCTTACAGACCCATTGGTCTGAATAAGTTTTGGTGTGAGGATGAGGAAAGCTTGTCGTTGTCGAAGTTGGTCCAGAATGCTAGAACGTGGTGAAGACCACACAGCGCCGAGCCTGCAAAGAGGAGATGATGGAAGCACAGCATGCACACAATTTAGGCAACGAAGGTCCAACACCAAAGAGAACAAAAATCAGAGGACAAGATGACGACAATTGGAGAGCAACTACAGCATTAATAAAAAAAGATGAAGATCAAGCATGGGAGGAAACAGGATGCAATTTGTGAGGTAGTTGTGCGGACTGGCAAAACGGCAAGATGACCTCGTAGTGCTTGTACTTAGTGAGGTGAGGGACACCATCGACCAGAAAACGGCGTCGGATTTGGTGGGAGACACATAGCCATGGTCTGCACTTATCCAGTGTGCTATTTTCAATGCCAGAACGTGTCACATGAAGCGACTTTTCTGACTTTCCAGTTTGGGATGTCTCTCTAGCTTCTCAGGCATCCTGTACCTCTGAATGCTGCTGCTTGACAATGTATGGCGCTCCTCCTTTTCGGCCTCACCTCGTTATATGTTTCTGCTTAGCATCCCGCGTTTCAATATCTTGTTGCTGATGTTTATTAATTTTCCTGATCGTGCATCCATGTGCGGTATTCGTTACTCAACCGGTTGGGTGTTTTCCTCCCGTCCTCACCTGAGGGAACTTGCGGTGGTTGTCCCCATTATTGAGCCATCCGGCCCTCGCCAAGAGCGCGTTGTTCATGAACAGGACGACACACTGCTGCTTGTATACCTGCCGGGTGGATTCAGAAAGAAAATGCTGGTTACCATACAAGCAAAATGCACTGCCAAGGGAAACGCAGTGTCAACGGCAAGCACAATATGGGTCACCCATTCAGTGACGAGGAGGTTCAGCGGCGTAGTGATGCTATCACGTGCATTAGGGGACCTACCGCGAGGGCAGTGCGTGCTATAGGGTGTTGGCCGATGTAGTTGGTCTTGTTGTAATCGTTGCCTGGCGGCATGAAGAAGAAGCGATTCTCGCAGCTTGCACCCGAATTCTGTGAGATGGACGCAGGAAACGAAAAAACGTTTCAGATGCACCACTTGCAAAAGATGCTTAGCGACAACCGTAGCCACGGGGTTACTCCTTATATCAATTCCGTCCCTCTCTTCAATGTTCGATTCTATCAGTGTAGCTCTCTTGCTTATGACCATTCACAGGCGTTGCGCCCAGCCTATTAAATGCACAATAAAATAAAGCTGTAAAGCGAGTCTTGCAAAGGCGTCTTCGGCGGCGATGGCTGACTTACCAGGAACGTGCAGTCATCTGAAGACGCAGTGATAACAGGATCGCCGGACCTGTAACCATCAACACCACGATGGCGTTATCAGTGCAGAATCATATATTAACAGCTGAACTGGTAGGGAGAAGGGAGCACAGGGACTCCTGACGTGCCTTTTTTCTCAAAGTAAGAAACGTGTTATAGCATGTCTTAACTTTACACAGTCCTCCGCGCTTTACAACGCTCCTTGTCCATCAAAGTCTGAAACGCAAATGATCCTGATGACATACTTGTGAATAATGGGAGTGCGGCTGAGCAACCTGTTCCCCAGAAACGGCGCCACCTTGTACCGAGGCACAACACCCGCACTCCCTCGCACCACGAAGTCACATGCCTGAAAGGTTTGACGGAAAACGACAAAAGAAAAAAAGGAGTTCGGGGAGAGTTTCTCGTTCGCAGATCGCTCGCACTCCTCGCACCACGAAATCGCATGCATACTTGGATGTCTCGAGGACGGGAATGGGAAGTTGATGACGCGCTAGCAAAATGGATGGTGTTTTCCAGGCAAGGTAATTGACAAGGAAGGTTCGTCCATCGCAGTTCTCTGGCGGCGCTCCGGACTTTTGGACAATCCGGACGGGCTATAATAGCTTCTTGATGACATGAGACAAATTGGAATCGATACGCAATGTCTAAACGGACGCACCGCGAGAGGCCTAGTGTAGCACCGGACGGCTTTAATCTCAACCATGTGGAAGCAGAGGATAAGTCCAACGGCTGCAGCGACCAAGAAGTGGGAGCACGGAAAGGAAGAAGCGGAGTTTGAAAACTTGTACAAATAAGCTAGCGACCTCGCTGCACGGTGAAAACATTTCGCGAATGCGACAGGCCAATCAGCGGAAAAACGGACGGCGCGATAGAGCCGTCCGAACGTACTTAGGACGATCGAGGTCCACAACCCGCGAGAGAACGCCATGGCTAGGAGTGTATGTTCCGTGCAGTGGTGTCTTCGCAGGTGCCTGGATGACCGTGACCAAAGCGCTAATCTTGCAACTTTCCTTCAACCTAGCTACTAACGCTCCTGAGACCTTTTCTGTAAGAAAGTGAAGACATAACATCCTCTGTGTGCCTGTCATCGCCCAGTCATGGGAATGTCAATCGCGCCCATCCGGCCAAATCGTGCGGTGGATAAATGCTGTGCCGCACCGCGACATCGGGATTCACGAATCGATCAGGGAGGCTGAGGAGTGCAGGAGTGGTGGTGAGACACCGCAACTCGAGCTGACGCAGTGTGCACGAAACTGAGCTGGTGAGAGTGTTTGCAACGCGCGCTATAGAAATGAAGCAGAAACCAAAACATAGCATGAATAGCTTTTCCCTAAACATACCTACTTTGAAGTCAATTTCTCTACAAAGATTCTACTACTTACACAACCACCATACATACATTTTCAATAATAATTTATCGGTTACTTACATCTACAAGTGTTATGATGAACCTGAACAATCATTCACATCACACCCACCCTTCCCATGGAAGAGCAAGAAGGGGCAGTATTGATTAGGTGTTTTGCAGATCATAAACTGTGACCGCCAGGCCTGATTTTAAGAGACTATTTTAGTCTGATTGTCTGAAATTTTAGACCTATTTTTCTGCCGATCCTGATTTTTCAGACTTGCCAATTTCTGAATGCTGAACCCTTCACAGTTTTATGTTTTTGAATCCTAAGAATCTCAGACTTGGCAGTTTGTGGATACTGAGTTTTCAGAGCACAGAGCGTACGGACCCTGAGACAGACATACTATCAGAATTGAAAATTGAATGATAGATAGAGTGAGAGTACACAAAGATATACCTAAGTGTTGTACTCTCTAAGAAGCAACCCTATACAGTCTATACAAACATGACAAATACACATGTTTGACACACCCCCTAGACTGCATAGGGGAATGCCCTAAACAAACAGCTCAGGGCGGCACTACTAGTCCAACCTCTGAGACAAGGGTCTAAGAGACCAGTCAGAAGGAGTACAAACAAGGCAAGAACAAGGGCAGGGCGGCACTACTTGTCCAGCCACTGGGAGAGGACACAAGTCCAGTCTGAGTATACGTATAAAGGACAGTACAAAGTCAAGGTCCTAGCAAGTGAGAGGCTATAGGAACTAGACCAAGCTGTACACAGTGCCGCTGATGATCTTTAGGCGCAAGCGCCTTCGTAAAGATATCAGCCGTGTTGGCACCTGAGGCCAAGTGTACTACGCGAGCCTGACGTCGCTGCTGTAGCTCACCCAGGAGGAAGTACCGCAGCTGAATGTGCTTTGCTCTGCCCTCGAGTCGAGGCTCCTGACACAGGAGGATCATGGCCCAGTTGTCAACGAACAGGACCGGGGCAGAGCTAGGCCGCTCACCTAAGTCAGTGAGCAAGAAGGTCAGCCAGCGGAGCTCCTGTGCCGCCATGGCACCAGCGTAGATCTCAGCCTCACAGCTGGACTGCGCTACAGACGAGGAGCGGGTAGCTCTCCACGAGACGGCAGCTAAGCCAAGGCTGAAGCAGTAGCCCTGGGTAGACCTGAGCGTCTCAGCGTCGTCTGCCCACGAAGCGTCTGTGTGTCCAGTAAGGACCACTGGCCTGTGTCCTCCTAGCACTAACCCCATGCCCGATGTACTAGCAAGATAACGCAGAACCCTCTTAGCGGCAGACCAGTGCTGCGGTCGGTGTCTGCCTGTGGCCACAAAGCGAGCCAGGATGCTGAGAGGGTATGCGAGATCTGGGCGAGTGCAAGTCATCAGGTACATGAGACAACCCACCAGCTCTGCGTAGGGGCCGCTGGGCTCTACCAACTCCTCAGACACTGGAGCGGAGAGTCTGTGGTCTACAGGCAGAGGGGTGGGCTGTGCAGAGGAGAACTGAAGGCTGAACCTCTGAAGGACCTGGCGCACCAAGTGTGACTGAGTCAGGGTGATGGTGCGCGCAGCTCTGTCCCTGGAGATCTGCAAGCCAAGGTAACGGCGCAGTTCTCCAAGGTCAGTGCACGTGTGTCTCTTCAGAAGCTCTGCCTTCACAGAGGCCAGTGCGTCCCTGTCTGCTGTGGCAAAGACCAGGTCGTCGACGTAAACAAGGATGTAGAACGGAGTCTGGCCAGCACGAACGAAGAGTGAAGGGTCTGCGGAAGACGGAAAGAACTGCAGGTCAGCAAGGGTAGCACGAAGAGTGTCGTGCCACTCACGAGGAGCCTGGCGCAGGCCGTAGACGGGGCGCCGCAGGAGCCACTGGGTACCAGGAGGGAAGGTGCCAGTAAAGCCCGGAGGGCGATGCAGGTAGACCTGCTCGTGTAGGCTGCCCTGAAGGAAGGCAGTGGAGAAGTCGATGGAGTGAAGCTCGTAGTCACGCTGAGCCGCTAGGTGTAACAGAACCCGAAGAGTAGTCATCTTCGGGGTCGGAGCGAAGGTCTGGAAGAAGTCCACCCCCTCGCGCTGACTGAAGCCTCTAGCCACATAGCGCTCCTTGAAGACTGGCGGCTCTCCAGGAGGGCGCTTCACCTTGAAGAGCCAGCGGCCATCGACTACGTTCACCCCAGGTGGGGGAACTGCGTCGACGAAAGTGCCGGTGGATCTCCAAGATGCCATCTCCTGCTCCATGGCAGCTATCCACTGTGAGGCCCAGGGTCCCGAGGTCGCCTCAGCGTAAGTGCGAGGGGTCGGGATGTCGAAAGCGTCTGGGTCACCCTCAGGGACTAGCAGCATGGAACAGAGATGGGGAGCAGCCTCGGAGAGGAAAGCAAGCTCGAACTGGCGGTCCTCCAGGACGTCACTGCCAAGGGCAGAAGCACCCCCGACAGACGGAGGACAGGCAGGGTCAGAGACCAGAGCGGTGGCGTAGTCAAGGCGACGGGTAGAGGCGAAGTCAGCGACAGCAGCGACAAGAGTGTCAAGGCACGGGACCGGAACAGACGGGTCGGTAACGAGAGAGGCAAGGACCCGAGGAACAAGAGGACGAGCGGCACGAAGGTAGTCAGACAGCGGGGGGGGTGCAACAACAAGGGAGGACGGAGGAGGCGACGGCAGAAGGGGAGGGCGAGACGCGTGGGAACGAAGCAACATAGGGTGGGAGCGCAAGACAGGCGAGGCAGGACGAGCACGGGAGGGGCGGTGAGACCAGACGTGCGACGGAGGAGTCGGGTCAGGAGACAGGGGAGGGGACACAGGAGGGGAACGAGGGGGGAGACGAGCCGGGGACGAGTCCGGCGGAGGAAAAGCAGGGCCGTAGACAGGAAGAGGAGGAGACGGTGGGGGAGGAACCGACGCAGGGTCGGGGGACGGAAGGCCGAGCAGGCGAAGGGCGGACACCGGCGAGGACTGCTGCTGCGGCGGCACAACGGCGTCACCTGGACCGCAAGCTGCTCCTCGGCTACCACCAGCACTCTCCACACCCGCACCCCCAGAGGGACCACCCCCAGGGCGACCGGGACGAGCACCCCCAGAGTCAGCGAACAGGTGATGCGACGGCGGCGGCGGCGGCGGCGGCAGCGACAACGACGGCTGCAGCGGCGGCAGAGGCGGTGGAGGAGGGGACTGGGAAGGGGACGCCAGGGGAGGGGCGGCCGGCGAGGACTGCACAGGAGGGCCACCAGAGTCAGAAGACTCCCCAGCCGAGTCCACCGACGGAAGGGGGGTGACGTGGGACACACCAGAGGGGGCGGGACGGGGAGGAGGAGGAAGAGGGGTAGGGACTACCGGGGAAGGAGTGACCAGGAACAGGGGGGGGGTAACCGGGGGACCACGGTGGGGGAAGCGACGGTAGTAGGAGACGGACTCGTCAAAGGTGACGTCACGAGAGTGAAAGAAGCGGTGCGACGGCGGGTGGTAAAAGTGCCAGTCGGACGCGTCAAGGGGAAAACCGAGGAAGACGCAGGGAAGGGTGCGGGCAGTGAGCTTGTCCGTGCCGGAGGCACGGACGTGAGCAAGGCAGCCCCAGACGTGGAACGCAGACGCGTCACCAGGAGACCCAATCCAAAGACGGGTCGGCGAAACCTGCGACTGCTGAGGGTGCGGCCACAAGTTAAGCTGGTGAGAAGCGTAGCGCACAGCGAACGGCCACAGAAAATGGGGTGCACCGGCATGGATCATGGAGGTGCGAGCCACCTCCATGACCAAACCGATGCGTCGCTCAGCGACCCCATTCTGCTGTGGGGAGTCCGGTAGGGTGAACGTCTGGGTGATGCCCTCCGTACGACAGAAGCAACCAAGGACACCTAAGGCAAACTCGCCACCACGGTCTGAGTGAAGACGCAGGACAGGGAGACCGCGGTGGACACACGCAGAGACAAGCCAGGGGATGAGAGCGCCAGGCACGTCGGCCTTGCGCTCCAGGGGAAAGACTGTGGTGTAACGAGTGAAGTCGTCGACGAGCACAAGGAAGTAGCGCTCTCGACGCGGCCCAGGGACAGGGGCGGGGCCCAGACGTCCAGGTGCAGGGTCTGCAGCGGCGCGGAGGTAGGGGGAAACGAGGAGGAGTGAGGGGCACGGCGAAGCCGACCCTCGACACAAGGCGTGCAAGGGGGGGCTGGGGAGGAGGGAAACGCGGGGAGAGAACCTGGGAGACCAAGGACAAGACCGTGCTGGGACATGTGACGCAGACGCGGGAGCGCAGGGTGACCTAGGCGGTGGTGCCAGAGGAGCGTCGGGTGAGTGAGGGACCGACAGGAGCAGGCAGCAGCAATCTGAGTAGATGCAGCCACCTGAGGGAGCGCCCCTGCCGGGGGGGTCACCGTGTCTAGAGTGAACAGGCCAGACACCGGGTCCCGGGGGAACGTGGACAGGGGGGCACCGGTGGCGGCCTCGGTACAGACAGCATACCGCTCGTGACCAGGGAACGTAGTGGTGACGCCAAGGTCCTGGAGGCAGCCGACACCAACTAGGTTCCTGGAGAACGAGGGGATATGCAGACCAGTAAGAGAGCCCGAAGGAACCGCCGGGCAGGGAAGGGTGGTGGAACTGCGGGCGACTACCGGACCGTCGGAGGGGTCAGCAAGAGAAACGGTAGCAGGAACAGGAAGCGGCGTCAGGGTGGTGGAGTCGCGGAAGAA